TGCCGTGGGCGGTGTGGCTGTGCCATGGGCACTGCTGGGCAGTGTGGCTGTGCCGTGGGCACCGCCTGGCTGGCTCAGTGTAGCTGACAGAGGGGCCTGTCCCTGGCTCCCAGCGATGCCAACACCACCGTGTCATTATCATGAAGTGGAGCCCCACGTCTTTGTATAAACAACTTTTTTCTTCTAGGAAAAATCCTACAAAATCTTTAAAGCCCACAGTGCCAGTTGACTTTGGCACAGGTTCTCCATGGTGTGCTGTGCCTGGATCACAGGTCTGCCTGCTGCTGAGGTCATCTGTGCTGTTCCCCACCTCCTGCTCCTGTTTATCTCCTGTAAATGCTGTTTCAGTCAGTAACCTATGGAGCTGAGGGCACTTCTTAGCAGAGTCTATGAAGGACACTTGCACTGGTGCACTACATCTGGTGCAGCTGGCAGAGCCCCGGTGAGAAAGGACTCTGAGGGCATCCAGAGGTTTCCATGTCTTTCATCCTACCCTCCCTTTTGCTTCCCAAGGATTCAGTTCAGTTGATCTGTTTACACAGAGCTCGGACGTTGGTCAGGGGATACCCCTGCTCCTCTGAGTGACACAGGAGGACTGAAGGACCCTTGCTCCTTTCAGAAGGCAGATTGGCTTTGCCGAGCTTGGGCCAGGGCAATGATCTGTGCAGGGGCACCTTTTTGTCCAGCAGGGTCCTGAAGCCATTCCTGGTGCTGCCATTCACAGCACACGATCCACCACGACTCAGTACACACGTCTGGCAAGCTCTGGCAAACGTGGGAATGCACACAGGAAGAATGCACCAGAAACACAGTCATGGTTTTGTAACTCTTGAGTTTAATTACTTCAGCATGTGGGCTTCCCTCCCTATCCAGCCTTCCCCCTTCCATTGCAATCTTGCTTAGAAAACTTGCATAAACACTTTTCCAGACCAGTATATAAACCAGACAGATGCACAGGTTTTATTTGCAGTTTTCTTAAGCCTTCACTTAACTTCTTAAGAGAGAAAGTGTATTAAAAAACTATTATGAAATCAGATCTAATATCTGATGGTGAGATGCACCGAGACCAGAGGACTCCACGGTGGAAGAACATGACAGTAATCCCTAACAGGAACTACACTCAGCCTGACCTGCTCAGGAAGCGAGTGACAGAAAATCAGCTGCTCAAACAACGTTGTTGTTTGCACTGTGCTGTCACAGCAGCACAGAAGAAAATCTTTTTTTTTTTTTTTTTTTTTAACACTTTTGGCAAAATTGAGGCCTTTGGGAAAGAAATTAAAAAAAACAAAACAAAACAGCCCAAGACAGATATGCAATTCACACATCTCCCCTCCTCCCTTCAGCTCATGAACACTTGAGACAGTTCAGCCCTCTGTCTCAAAGTAAGCAAAAGAGGCTGGAAAAGGCTAAAATAGATGTACCTGACTAAAGGCATTCAAAAACATGGGGACATGAAGGGCCACGAAAGGTAAAGAAGTTACAGAAGCATGGGAATAAAATGACACTGTGAAGGCATTACACACACACTCGGTAGCAAGACTCTCCTCTGCAACTCAAAAGATTTGACAACTGAGTAAGGCCAACATAGATAAGATGCATTACCTAATCAGGCCTCAGAGTACCAAATTACCTTGGTTTCTTCAATAGAAAAGAACCTGAAACTTACTAGTTCAGCAGCCTGTGAGAGAACAGAGTCTGTAGTGAGCCTGAACATTGTGCTGTCAGGAAATAACCTGGGATACAATGCAGTGGGTTTCTACCTTCCTCCAGGTCTCTTCTAGCCCCAACTGTTCTGTTTTGCTACGGTGAATTTCAGGTTTGTGTGGGCTAGTGGTGGGCTGCTACAAACCTGCTATCAGTGAAAGAGAACCTGGCACCGAGTGAGTGTCCACCTTACAGCAGTTCAAAGAGCTCAGGAAAACGGCGCAGAAAGGAAACTTGGGGGAAGATATTTTTTTATTAAGCAGACACTGGTTTTTGTAATCCGCTGTCAAAGAACTCCAGTGCACCTAGTTATTTTAGCTTCAAGACTTCACAAGCAGAAAATGCAGCAAGAAGTCCAGTGATGACCTAGGTCAGGTAAACAAGTAGCTGCTGCCAGCGGAGGAGAAATCGCAACGCGCCGTCCCTGTGTCAGTGCAAGGTGCCCCACGACTCCTTCGACCCTCGCTCCCCTTTAAGGGCAGCTGCTGGACTTTGCTAGACATGAATCAGTTCTACTCAATTTCTGAGCATGCATGACCTGTGAGCTAGGTGTCCGTTACCCTAGGACTGCCATGCAATGTGCATGAGGAATCAGCGTTACGCAGGGTGGCAAGCACTTCCTACCACAACACCTACAGCCCGCGGCGATGATGTGTGTGAGCACGTTAAAAAGTAATAGTCCACAGTTAAAAGATAATTTTCCATAGGAAAAATGTTCCCTGTACCTAGGAGCAAATCTAGGAATACAAAAGTGATTTAAGCAGACACAAACAACTGCAGACACAAACTATCAAAAAAGAAATATCAAATTAAAACCAAAGTTAAAAAAAAAAAAAAATCTTAATTCCAAACAGTAGAGAAGCCACCTATTGAAACAGGGTCTCAGAAGGAGGAAAACTCATGTTTAAAAATATTACACACCAAATTACCAACCATCTAATTAAAAAAAAACAAAACCTCACAAACAAAAAACAAAACCAAGACACCAGCCAAACTTTACAAACAGGATAACAAACAGATTTCCTCTTGCAATAAGGACATTGGGTAAAAGGTTACGTAATATACTGTGGTATGTTTACAGGGAGGTTTTTCTTCTCCACTCACTGCCTTCAATCCCATCAGTTGTTTTGAGCTTGTTTTCAGTTTTTTTTCAGAAGTTCTCTCTGCTTGTAGAAAGAGAACTTCCTTTTGTCTGTACAGAACGACACCCAGGAAGCAGGTGAGGAGAGATGTCCAACTTCTCGTGGATCCATTTCTTTGCTGATGCACCACTAAGCCAGTTCCAGATGTGATGTGAGTTCAAGAAGTTTCTATCTCAGAGGCCTCTTCTATGAAGTTAGCAACAGGACTGAGGAGCAAGAGTGGAAACAGTTTATACTCTCCATTCCCATCTTCTGAGAGGAGAGGTGCCTCACCCATTCCCAGAGCATCCAGCGGCTCAGCCTGGCTGGCTGGAGCTGCCAGTGGCAAGTCAGTTCCACTCCCTGGCAGAGGAGGGAGAGCAGGTTTCTCCTCCAGGACAGGCAGTAGAAGATCTTTCGGATCCTCTGTCTTCCCTGCAGCTTCACTTGACGGCAGCTCTTCAAGTAACGAAAGCAGGGGATTGGCCCTGTACTGTATCAGCTGCATATCTGAGGGAAAACAAACAGTTTAAACTCCAGGCTCCTGTGTCACGTAAGTGAAGGCTCTTATTCAAGACAAGGAAAACTGGAGAGGCTGCTTCAAAACTTGGTTCACTACAGAAAACCACACAGCTGAGCTCTGACAGACTACACCCCCAGCTGCAGGGGGGGAGCGAAGGCTCCTGCGTCCGGCAGGGCCGACAGCTGAAGCACACTCCAAGCCCCTAACACAGACAGCATGCAGTGGCAGCACTGAAGTGGTAAAACGAGTAGCACTGCATTTGGGGAGGTCGTAGCCCATATAGGAGACACTTCCACAAGGACATTTGCTGTTCTGCTCCCTATTGTGGCACTCTGTCATGCGTAAGGCAAAGGAAATGGTTAACACCAGCACGGGGGGGCACAGGACGGGGCCTCTCAAGATTGCAGCACAGATTCATCAAGAGCAGTGAAACATTCCAGTCTTCACAAAAGACTTAAGCCCCAACCAAAGGAGATAAACCATATGACAGGCTACAAAAATCCCATTTCAACACACAGTTTTGGAAGAGTTTGGAACTGCCAGAGGTCTCAGTGTTCCTTCCTGCCCACCTTTGCTTCCTGGTGTTTCTTTCTCAGTCGCTCCAAGATCTTCAGTGTTCTCTGTCAAGTTTGAAATCTGAAGCAAAATGGAGAAAGATTAAGACAGAATGCCTAACAACCACCACAAAACTCATCTCCACTGGCTGGTTAGCAAAATTAAAGGTGAAGGGAGGGATGAGAAATGAAACAGTTGACCAATGAGTCCACTGTTGCACCTGAGGACCAGCAAACAGAAGCTCTCAGAAGGAGGCATGGTGAAATACAGACAAACGTAACTTACTAAAGCCAAAAAAGCTCCTGACTAGCAAATACTCATTTTACTTTCCAAAGCAGAAGCTTTATTATAGTCTGTCTTCTTGGAAACACACTGTTAAACATTATTGCCTCAATACAATCACATTTTGCAAGCCCTGCTTGAAGACAGCTGCATTTTACCGTAGCTGTGCTCTAAGCTCTTACAACTGGGAAGTCCTAGTTTAATATTTCAGAATTACAAAAAAAATGACACTTACAGGGTCTTTTTTTTTTTTACCATGAGTCAGTTTTAGGAACTGGACCAAGAGAAGTAAATTTGCACTGAACTTCTGTACATCCTCTGAGGAAATTCATTACAGCCATGTTCAGAATAAATACAGCACACTGCATTACATTTTTCAATTCATACTCTTCCTTCAGTCTTCAGACAGACTGAAGAGACAATGTCAGACAACCCCAAGCTATTACTTGGCTAAAAGTCATCAAGGGAATCCCTGAGTCTAGGATAAAAAAGCCAAGAAACTGTTACCACACACTTAGACCAAAAAAAGACAAGATCTTCTACCCTCCTCATTCTAAACAGAAGGTACAGAAGTAGTAGATAGGAAAGCAGACAAACAAAATATCCTCAATACAGAGAGCTGATTCAAGAGACATCAGTTTGTTCCCTCTTCCTTATGTTCTCAAGTGTATTCCGAAAGCAGAGATGAGGTTGTTCAAGGCAAATACACTCAGGGCACTGAGGGTATTACTGCAGGTAGGAGCATAAGACCTGAAATTATCTTGAGAACCCTCTTGAATTCATACATGCCAACAGTGATAACTGAAAACATTAAGTCAGCAGGACTAGATAAAATAGTGGTCTCATCCTGTACTGTCAATCCTGTCCCTATCCTCAAACTGCATCAGTCAAAATTTAGCTCTCAATATTGTATGAACCCTCCCCGTTGTAAAAGGAACTCTTACATTTTCCATACCAGGGGAGGTTTCCATCAAGTTCATATCCAGGGCTGGCAGCTCAGGATTAAATGTCTGAAAGTAAAAACAGACTGTGTATCACATAATAAGGTTCTTAAAACAAAACTTCAGAGACCACCTGAAAGGACAGCAGGAGGCAGCACACCACTCCATGCAGTGCAGCACAGCAGAGGGGAGTTCCCCACAGGCCTACAGCAGAACACCTTCAACCTGTGGCAGTGAACACGTCACAGGAGAAGAAAAGGACCCCATCCTTCCCAGTGATTGCAGGAGTTTCATTCTGTGTCGTAAAGCATGATCAAATACATGATCAGGATGTGATGATATGTGTGAGAGGCTTGAGAAGGAGAAGAATCCAATTTTAACTGCCCACACTTTCAGCTCTGTGTAACAAAGACACCGTATGACCTGCAGAGGGTCTCAACGTTACATTGTGCATCATCAGACTCCCAGAGTGTATCGTTCTATCCAGAACTATTTGCTTTTTAGGATTTTCCCTTCTCTTGCCCATTACAACATGGAATAAACCAGTACATTTTTATGATGTAACCTAGCTGATTTTTCAAAAAACAGAAGAAGTGAGAAGGCACTCACATCACTGAAAGCCTCAGAACCAAAGTTATACTGCTTCCCAGATAACATCGCTTGAAGCTCTTCAAGGCTGGCATCAATGCAATTAAGAAAATCCTGAATTTCTTCTCTGAAAAGACAAAATTATATAGTACTGTCAGAAACAGTTGGCAGTTAGGGCCTTCTTTTGCACCACAAGGCAGGGAAAACACTCAGGAATGATCCTGGGGGCAAGGCAAGAGCCAGACCAGAAGAGCTTATTGCCAACTGAATGAAACCGCGTTCCTGCGTCACTGTTCCTGGTCCAGCTCTTTGAGGACAGGTACAAGGAAGGCTCTCTGAACAGCAAGTATAATAACAGCTGACAGCAGAAAGCAGTTCTTCCTCCCACACCTGCTTCATCCTTCATTTTACTGTCTTTGGGATTGTCTTAGATCCCAGCCTATATACCAGTATCTGTTTAAACTAAGGTCCAATGGCTTTCACCTGGGGACAGTAAATGATGTGCAAAGGGCTACAAATAATCTGGATCTGAAGAAACACTACCTGTTCTGAAACATCAGATTGTTGCCAAACTGTACACGTTTCAAGGACAGTGGGCAGGGTACAAGGACAGTGAAGGAGAAAGGAAGGTGCATGCAGGGCACCAGCACTGCACCTCTCCCTGTGCTGCGAGCTGGAACACGCTGCCACGAGGAGCGGGCGCTGCCCCGTGCTGCGGTGCCAGCCAGGCTCTCCCCTCTGCTGCCAGCACGCAGCACTGGAAGGACACAGACCTGCTGGAGCATGGCTAGAGCAGGGCAGAGATGATGGGGGGCTGGAACCCCCTGCCGTGAGGCCAGCCTGAGGGCTGGCGTTGTACCCTGGAGAAGAGAAGGCTCTGGGGATACCTTATAACGGCCTTTCGGGACTTAAAGGGGGCCTACAGGAAAGCTGGAGAGGGACTTTTTCAAGGGCTTGTAGTGACAGGACAAGGGCTGACGTGACAGACTGCCCTCACCAATCCTCAGGCTGATGCACCAGAAGTCAGGCACGCTCTTTATCAGAGATGTGACAGATGAATGTAACAGTTTCCAGAGACAAGTCAATACCTGTCCAGTAAAGGATCGCTTTGGGTTCCAGAGCTGTTCTCGTTCAAGATGGAGTCAATCACTGATACGGGGTCTTCTGGAGCATTAGGCTGTGCAGTATGGAGTTCCACAGCAGCATTTCCTATTTCACTGGATTTGCTGACATCACTTCTATGAACTGGTGGGATAGGCTCTGTACGGTTCACCTCATTTAGCTGTGACACTTGGCAAACAGGTAAGCCAGGATCCAGGGACGCCTGTGTCTCTCTAAAGTATGACCCACAGAGAAACAACACACAGCAGGATTCATCAACTGTATTACTACTCATTTTTTTTAGCATCTCCAACTTTTAATACCTAATAAGGTCAAGCCAGACAAAGGTTCAAACCACTAACTGGTCTTTAGAAAAAGAAGAAAGCTGCCTTCCAAAAGGTACATGAAGAATCTCTTACTACAGCTTACACAGACAGTGTGTATCAGAGCAAAATACCCCATTTTGCTAGGCCAAAAGCAGCCAAATAGTATATGGAAATTAGGCAGGAGGGCAACTTCTAACATTGTGTCTCTGGAAAGAAAAGGTTTCAAACTGGCCCACAGTTCACGCTGGATTCTAACAGCTAAATGGGCCTTCACAAGAGTCTGATGCCACACTAGAGGATGCCTTCCCTTCAGTTATGCTCAGCGTGACATTAGTGAGAGCAGTACTAAACCTGGAGGGAAAACTTTACGCCCTGGTTTATCAGCAGCCTGTATATGCATTTTGGATTCACTTATTCCTGCATTCAGGTCCCTGTTCAGTAAAAAGTGAAGTGTGTGCCTGTCTGCTGAATAGACAGAAAAGCCTGAGGAAATGAAAATTCCAGTGCAAATCAGCTCCACAGGCCTTCGAGCACCCGTGAAGAGACATGAGCTCCCAGAAGCTTTGCTGCCCACAATCAATGCTACCTGCTGTGCAGAAGAGCCTGCAGGCAGGCCCGTCCCACCCAGCCAGGAGAAGCCCGGGTGGTGTGCCCAGAGCCGACCCGCCCCCTGTGCCGCTACCTGCCGCTGGCGCTGGCGTGTGCCACGGGCAGCAGCCCGCCGGTGGCGCTCTCCAGGCTGTCAGTGACGTCCCGAATGATCAGACCCGACCCATTTCCACTCCCATCCTCGGCATCGCAGCCCGAAAAAGCCACCTGCAGGTACAGCAAAGAGGAGTAAGCCCCAGAGCTCTGCCTCGCCTGATGCTGGAGCTCTGGCAGCTCGTCTCTCCCCTTCGGATGTAGCCCGTGACTGCTTGCACAGATCTGCCTGGTTTTCCAGACAGAGCAATGCTTTGAAGCTGCCCCATTTCAAAATGGAGCGTGCTCGATTGTCAGAGTAGGGCACTACTAGTTGCAAGGAAGAGTATGGGATGGCTCTGTCCCACCCTGTCCCACCCTCCTCCCTGGGCAGCACTTACTGCCTGGCCACTCTCCACAGGAATGCGAACGTACTGACGGCTGTACTTGGAGGGTGAAGCTCCTGCAGCATCCGTGAGAGACCTGAGACAAAGCACAGCCTTAGTTTACAATTCCATGGTAAAGAGCTGCAGCAATGCCAAATGAACACAGTAACTCCTCTACTTCCAAGAAAAGTGGCATTTGGAAATGTATTTTAGCAAGTGTCCTGCAGACAGGCTGCATGCTAAACGTGCTCTTGTTTTGGACACATCAGTCCCATCTGCACATTTTGAAAGAGTTACCATTTCTGTAACTGTGCCCTTTGAAATTTAAAATGTAGAGTATATTCTCTTCCCACCCATCTTTTTTAGTGTTATGGAGTAAATCTTTTATTTCATGCTTTATTCAGCTTCCATCAGCTTTCTCAAGTTTGACTACCCAAGTGATAAAAATATCCTTTATACACTTTAAGAAAAGTATCTTGCTTCTAGAAGCTGATTTATCCCTGTAATTCACACCTGACACCGACTGGTGACCTATCCAGTAATTACCTTTTTCTTTTGACCCCAACAATATAATTTCCTTGCATCAAACTTAGTATAAATTGAAGAATCTAAAAAGGAAAAACAAACAAACAAAACCAAAAACAAGTGGTCAGCATAGCAATCCTAACATTAAATTATTATTTCAGATTTTAGCACAAAAATTATGTAGATACGTCATTGAAATCAATAGGTAAATTAAAAAACCATTTGTGTTCATGTCTTAAAAACCAAAATGACAGTTACAAATAGCATTGAAAAATTATTCCACTTGGACAGTCATTTTTTTTTTTTTAAAGTAATACAACACCAAAAGTCACTAGAAGATTCCAGACCAGAAACAGCTGAGGGATAAACCAGAGAAAATTCATTCCAGTGCAGAAGCTCCTATATTTTCTGGGTTCCAGGTTGACTTCTTGAGTGGTCTAAGTCTGTCTTGGTCCAAGATCTTTCTGAGACTCCGTTCTGTGTGCCTGCAACCTCTTAGGTCAGGGACCTGTTACCATGCACTGCCTCCAGCCCCACATTTACCCTGGGTCAGCTTGATTTACTGGTTTCTCTCCAAACAAGATTCACTGGGATTTCAAATACTTTGAAATCCTTCTCACTAACACTTTTCCTTAGTATTTCACTTGTGGTTCTTTGCTGTGCTACTTCTGGGACACTCAGGAACTGTGAACATTTTCTTTATGCTGTATTAATTATAGCCTGTTCAGCTCTGTGTCATTTGTCATTCTACATAAGCAAAGAATGCCAGCAAGTCTCACAGAGGCAGGAGTAAGGATGGTAGCACTGAAGAGGCTGCAATGGTACCTTAGACAGCAGCTTCTGTTGTTGACTGTGCTTCTGCCTTAGAACTGCCACTTCGTTCCACAGGGCCTTATTTTCTCTGCAATGCAGAATAAATCAGAAGACAGAGGATGAACAGAGTTTACTTTATATGCTTTAGTTTTACAGCTTTCAAACTTTCACAGTACCTTGCAGGGCCAATGGCAACGTTCCTTCCGTGGATAGCTAACAAACTGTTTAGCTGATCCACTAGTATAAACTCTGGGTTAGGTTAAGTCAGGCAGGACCAAACACTCACTAATAAGGAGATTTTAGTCCTCTAATGCTCCGCCAATAATCTTGATCTCAGGTGTTCCTTCAAAGCCTCAAAGCCTCTGAATAATGCCTTGGTGTTTGGAAACAGGCTGAGTGCAACACCTCAGAACAGCTCCAAAGTCTGTGTTTGAGGGTGGGCTGGTTGATTGGTTGGTTTGGGTTTTTCCAAAGGAACAGAGGAAGTGGAGTGAAAGTATCTCCTGAACTTTGGTGATTACCTGCTTGCACACCAATGATCTGAAGGAATCAGCAGTGCCTGTACAAAAAGGATCTGAGGGAACAGAGATGAGGATGTGCAAAGTCCACTTCCAATTAGAAAGAAAACCAAAGACTAGCTCTCCTCACTGCATCTAACCCTGTTTTGTCTTTATGAAAGGAAATGCTTTGAGCACCCTAAAATATTACAGGTGATGCCAACCAAAATGTAATCTCAAGACAGTCAACAAACTCCCAGTCTTAATCTCTGGTCTGAGTTATAAAAACAAACCTAGGATTCACAGTGCTGTGTTGGGTGGAACGGGGATTCTTAGGGAAAAAAAAAGGAAAAGCTTCACCTGTTTCCAGCTCAAATGAAACCCACATTTAGAGTCTAGTTCCATGAGATATAAGCAACAGTCAGTGTGTAAGTGCCTCTGAAACAGATGGAGTCTACCTCTTCATGTTAGCCAGCCTGACATCCATGTTGTTCTGCTGCTCTCTCATTTCCTGGACTTCAGAGAGGACCTTGTGCAAATCCTCTGTGCAGACCTTGAGATCCTCAGTTCTTACTGCAGACACCTAAAATAGGAGCAGATTACACAAGCTTTACTACAAACAGTGCCTTGCATAATCCTTTCTACACGAGCAGTGTAGTTAGTGTGTGGAAGAAGAGGTACAAACTCCCTTAAATCATTAAGTAGCACTATAATTGTTATTGTATCATGAAACACCACAACTGCTATAGATTAGAGTCCTTAGGACAGTCTACACTGCATGAAAAAAAAAAACAGGGGGTCAATGAAAGCATGATATTAGCATTTTGTACACACAGAGCATAGATTAATCATTGCAGTTCATGATAAAAAAAATACCACTAATTGACAATGGCCCTCCCTAGAGGGTTCTGACAGGTCTGGTGACAGCTTGCCCTCTAGTGTCAAAATGAGACAGCAGTCAAAAACAAAATGCAGAACTGAAAGTGGAGTAGGAACAAGAGGATCACTTTCCTTTTAGGTGTGGGTAAATCTGCCATCAGAGGAGTGACACATCTCCATTAAGGTACTGGGAGGGGTGGAGACTGTCTAGTTAGATGTATCCTACTCCATTTGGAAATTTGTCCCAGACCACCTGAATTGCAAATGCCCATATTGGTGTTTCCTCTATTATCTCTCTGCTCAGTGACATTCCAAAACTCTTGAGACTCAACTCCAGGAAGTCACAGTCCAAACTGCTCTTCCCACAGCAGAATCCATGACTGCCACCTCTTCAAAGGATGGTGGAAGAGTCATCAGAAAGTAAAAAGCTCACTCTTCTCCCCACACTCCCATATTCAAAACTTTCCAGTTCCCTCAGCAGCCCTCTCTGTGATGGTGGCACTGATGGCTGGCACACAGTTCAGGATGCTGAAGAGAACAGGCCTAGTGCACCCTGCATCTGAACGGCACGCCCAGGTTTTCTAGACACAATTAAAAAAAATCATTTGGCCAAATACTGACCACAACTGAACCAAAAGAAGCTGCAGCAGATAATCACCAGACACCCCTTCCACTGTAAAGCATGCCATGATTTCTCTTTATTATCCCACTCCATCCCAGGGGAGGGGTGCAAGCACCTGGGAGCAGCTGCTGAGGTGCTAGGTGACTTCCACACAGGTTGGCTGACAGACCCCTTCTCCTCAAAGGAGAACGGGATGGTCAGAAACAGACCTGCAGTGTTATAAACTAACATCCCATCACTTCGTCATGCAACAGAACACAGTTATTATGTAATCACTCCACAGAAATAACTACTTTCTTAACAGGATTAACTTTCTGAACATAATTAATTCAGTAACTTCAGAGTTACTGAAGGATGGAGTGAATGGCCTGAGAGTTTTCCTGTCAGGAGGTGGCACGGTCACATTTTTAGATGCTCTGCTATTCCTTGAGGACAATAGTTTATGCTGAAGTATGTGAGTTGTATCCCAAATGAAATTCAGGACAAAGCTGTCTGCTTTTGCTTCAGTATTCCACCTCTCCACGGGGATGGCACCCAAAAAATGCAGACAGGAGGTGGAAATTTTAAGTGCAGTCAGCCTGTCTCTCAAAAAGGGCTGAACTACAACATTCTGCCCAAGTGCCAGAAGCTGCTCTCTTCAGAGCCCCTGACTGGATAATAAGGGTGTCAGGACTGAAGCACACCAGCAGAGCTAACACTACAAGCAATAAAGGAGTCCTGCATTCAAACTTGCATTCCTGTTAAGAGGCTTGAAATCCACTTCACAGCAAGCACCAAAATTCTACTTCCTTCCAGACAATAAAAGAGCAAGAAAAACTAATGGGCACTTTGCAAAAAATCACTAACATTTCCTGTGCAACAAAGAATATGTTTCACCAGCCTATTCAATAGTTTCATGTGAACATCCTTGGCACCAAATAGAGCTTTTGTCTCTCCATGCAGAGCACTCCACCCAGCACCATGCCCCTGGGAGGCAGGCTGCCCCAGCACACCAGGCCAGCGAGCCAGGACAGGCCCGTGGCTGACTGGGAAGGGCACGGGCCTGGCTCAGAACCACCCACACAACAGCACCCGACCCTCTGGGACTCCGAGCAGAGGGCCTGGCTCAGAACCACCCACACAACAGCACCTGACCCTCTGGGATTCCTAGCAGAGAGCCTGGCTCAGAACCACCCACACAACAGCATCTGACCCTCTGGGACTCCGAGCAGAGAGCGCAGCGAGGAATCGATCCAAACACGATTGTGCCTCTCCAGTCCCCCCTCTGCTTTATTAGCTTGGGCAATGCAGCCACCACATTACAGCATTCTGGGGAAAGGATTCTGCAGTTCAAATGTCAACATGATGTATCATGATGCCCCTTTCCCTGGCAGACAGGATATTATGGGCTATAATGTGCCAACAGAGGATAAATATCTCTGCAGGAACAGGTCAGACAAGGCCTGAACGTACAAAACAACACTGGAAAGAGCTAATAAACATGTAGCTTAGAGACAACATAGTTTTGGAGGAACAATGTAATTCTCAGACTCACCCAGATGAATGATGATTGATGCACTTGCTAATTTTCAACAAGCATAAAATGGGACTGTATTTTATTTCTTTCCCTTTGTGGCTTTCTCTAGGCCTGCTCTGCTGGCAGTGCTGTAACCCCGTGTGTGAACTCTGCAGAGGGCTCTGCTTTGACAGCTCTGGCCCTGCCCCAGGGCACTGCTGAACACCAGCGGGGGGGGGTGTCCCAGAGCTGGCACGGGGAGGCCAAGCTGGGCACTAGTCTGGCATTCAGGAGGGAGTTACAAAGACTTGCATCATTATCACAGCCTTGGTTCCTGAGGGATTTGTTGCCTGTAAAGTGTTTGAAACCCCCAGACATGATCTAAAGTGAAGCAAATATGTGCTTAGACTGTACCTTGCGCTTGATGTTTTCCAGTAAATGTGCCTCCCCTTGCTTGAAGAAAGGGTGCTGGAACTCAATGACTGAGCTTTTCTCTGCTGTAATCATACCATTCTCCAGAGCAATCACCTTCCTGAAACCATCTGTGGAGAAGCAGTGACACGGTCATCTCCCTCAGTGCAGAGCTGACTGTTACAACACACCGCTGAAGAAAACCCCAAGGCTACTGAAATACCTATGGCACTACAGTTACTGGGAGGAGAAACTACAAAAAACAGCTCAAGTAGCTTTTCTTTGGTGCTCAATTGTTTGACTGCTCTATTCTTCACAGCTAGAGAACATGTCAACAACACTGCCAAAGGACCTTGAAGGCTGTACAAACAGCATGCAGGGCAGGGGGCAGCCAGCATCCGCCAGGAAGACAGTGATGTCCAAATAATCACAAAAGTTATTTAGAAATTAGATTTATTAGGACATCCTGCATAAAATCTTGTCCCAGTGGAAGCAGTGGAACAGTGCACTTTCATGCCTATAATCCCAGACAACTACATATCAAAACAAATGCCATCAGGTACCACCAGGGTCTACAGAATAACGTCAGGAAGAAACGTTAGTCCTCAGCCTGTGCAAACACAGGGTACGTCCTCCAAACCTGCATGAGACAGGACACTGCCAGCTCTGCTTCCATCCCTGCTTCAAGTGCCACAGGGCAGATGCAGAATACAGCTGACAGACCAAACCATCTCTCTCCTGAGTTTTTAGCATAGTTAATGTTTCAGTTTCACTATGCCCTACCTGTGCTACCATTGGAAAGCTTTACTGGAAGCCAGGATAGGTGCAGCAGGACAAGGAGGCTGCCACTGCACTGCACATCTTCACAGGAACAGCTGCAGTTTAGGATTTGCCCTTGCTACAGGGCAGCTGCTGATGGTTTGTTTGCATTGCCCTTGGCACGCCGGGGATGGAGTTCCAACGCTGGCCACAGCCAGCAGCAGCCACCCTGTCAGGAGGCTGAGCACAGTCTTTATCACCTCTGACAAAACCCAAACAGCACCAGCCATGGAGAACAGGCAAGCCTGCTGGGCAAGGACAAGAGTTCCTCCCCCTCAGACAGAAATTCTAAATAGGGTGGGATTTTCTGTGCAGTTTGTACCTCCACTCAACCCAGAAGCTATCTGCTGCAAAACAACTATTTCTGCTGTGCATCACAGCCCCATGCACTGTGCTGGGTCTCTGAACAGCCACCTGGCCCCTGCCTGCACAGGCTGTACCTGTGTTCCACAGGGGATGCTACAGGACGCTCACAAGTCGAGCACAGAAACAGCAGGAGCAGCTTCACCCAGCTCAGTCCATCTGCCTGGCTGCTCTTGTTCCAACACAGCAACGCAGGCAGCAGCACAGCCCAGGCAATTGTTTTCATGTAGGAGAGGCGTGGGTGTGGATGGGGCCCTTGCTCCTCTAGCTATGCCTAAGCTTGCTGCTACTCTTTGTCCTGGTTTCGTCTGGGATGGAGTGAACTTTACCCCTAGTAGCAGGGATGCTGTGTTTTGGATCCAGTGTGAGCAACACGGTGATAACATGCTGATGTTTTCGATGTCGCATGGCAGCACTTATCCTAAGTGCAGGATTTCTCAGTTTCCCATGCTCTGCTGGCAAGCAGCAGCACACGCAGCTGGGAGGTGACGTGGCCACGACAGCTGCCCCGGGCTGGCCAAGGGGATGTCCCACACAGCACAGAAAGTGGGGGGAACTGGCCAGGGGGCACCGCTGCTGGGGCACCAGTCAGCGGGCGGTGAGCAGTCACGTCGGGCACCTCTTGGGCCCCATTTCCCTCTCCCATGTTGTTCTAATTGATGCCGAGTAGCAGCGAACTTGGCAGAAGGAATATGTAAGAAGAGGTGATGCTTACACATGTTAAGCTGTCGTATAAAGCTGGAGATATTGTTGTGTTTGAAGTACTTGGGGAGTAGCTCCTTGGCAAACCTCTGCTCATCCAGAATGCAGAAGTTCTCACCATTCTAGGAAATAAGCAGAACAAACAGTTAAAGAACACGTAGTTTTTCTAAGGTGTTGCTCATAAGTCAAGACCATAAATCCACAAAGACAGTTCCTACCACAGGGAAGAGCAGAACACTTTGCAGAGGGAGTTGTCTCTGCGAGCACTTCACAGTACTTGTGAACGTACCAGAAACTTTGAATCAAAAAGGTAGTTACATGGAACGCTTCTGCTCAATGGGGGATTGTTCTAAAAGCCCTGAAGTTTTGATCTTAATCCAAAGAAAAGTCGTTCTAAAACCCCATGTATCCGCTGCTTTCTTCATCCACAGGAAACCCAGCTATCACTCAAGCACAATGGAACCGGTGCCACTAGAGGGCTTTACCTCCTGGGGCGAGAGCTGCCCAGCTCCGTGACGAGATTCTTCCATTGTGTGCACTATGTCACCACCAAAAATAACCAAGCAACCTCGCAGAGTTTACTCAAAGTTAGGACAACACAACCCAGCGGTGGGAAACGGCAGCTCTGACACGAGCAGCTTCAGACGCCTCACATTCACCAGTTCAGGGTTCCCCGAACCGGGCAGGGCCTGGTGTCACTTTCAGGCCGCTCACAAAGACACCGAAAATACCATGCTTCTTTTCATCGCTGCCTTTGTGAAGGCCGAATCTTTAAAAAACTGGACAAACCCCAACGGACTGAAAACTGACAGACGACAAACCCAAACGGCGCGTTTGTGTCGGGCGCCTCCCGGGTCCGCACCGCCCTGTGCCCGAAGGCACGTGGGACCAGCAAGGCCGCTCTCCCTCACCTCAGCAAGGGCGAAATAGAACTTAATTCCTTCCCCAAGTGCCT